CCCTTTTTAGGTTATTTTAGGGTTAGGAACTCCGTAGACATATCACCGAACCTCCTGAGTCACCATCTCCACTGCCCTGACTGTGCCGAACAATCCCAATATCCTTCCTACTCCCGTCTGATGCCTCCATCAGTTTTGACTCCCATCCCACGCGCTATACCTGCTAGTCTTGGAGGCCCGACCATTCCGAGTCTTGGCATTGCGACCCAAGCGCACTGACCTAAAGCTTTACCCAACGGCCCTGTATCGTATGTCTTAATCTCCTGATGATGGGGTTCTGTCTTCAAAGTCAAGCCCCCAGAATAAAGCTGCCACCAAAAGATCCCGATCAGATTGTCATGAGATCGCAAAGCTTCAAAGACATCAAAGGGCGAGCTTTGCTCAAAGGCAATTTCGTATCAAGGTATCACAGGTGTCCCTGAAGGCGGAAGATTTGAATGCTTCAGATGTTGAGTTTGACTCGAGGCACTGATAGGCCTGCGTAGCGCATGGGCGCGCCTCGAGTCATACTCAACATTCGAAGTGCTCGAAGCTTCCTCCTTTGGGGACAACTGCAATACCTCGACACAAAAACGCCTTCAAGCAAGGCCCGCCCTTCAATATCTTTGAAGTTTCGCGATCTCACGATGATCCGATTGGGATCTTTCGGTGGCAGCTTTATTCCGGGGGCTCAACTTTGAAGACAAAACCCCATCATCCAGAGATTGAGACATGCAATACAGGACTGACAGGCAAACCTTTAAGTCGATGCACTCGGGTCACGACGCCAAGACTCGCAATGGCCAGGCCTCCAAGACTAGCAGGAATAGCGTGTTGGATGGGAATCAGAAACTGATGGAGATGTTAGGCGGGAGTAGGAAGGATATCGGGATCATTTGGCACGGTCAGGGCAGTGGAGGTGGTGACTCAGGAGGTTCAGCAGGATGAGGGATATTTAAGAGTGGTATTTTATGGTTGTAAGCTAGCACTCGGCCCCTAGTAGTGAGACTCACACAGAATCACATCCCCCACTCAGCAGAGCTCAGTCCAACTTCGAACTCTTTTGAAGTGTTGCGTCTCCCTACAAACTACGACTACAATCCTCCGAACTACGTCTGCGACCTTCAAACTATGCCTACGACCTTCAAACTTCATCCTCTATCAGTACACCCCCTTCAAGGCACACCCACGCGCACAGCTAAGTACTTCGAAGTTCCGTTCTTGCACCCGACCTTCGAATGAGACCCGTGTGTCCGTGCTTGAATCGCACTTTGCGTTCAAGTTGTCGAGCTAGTTCCCCTCTACCTTCCCTCTGCTTCTACGAGAAGTCAGAGTGTTCGGACAGTCCGAAACGGTATTGTGACACCGTCCCGAGAAAATCTAGTGACGTCATCGCTGTTCGAGCGAGCTATCACAACTACAAGCCCTTACCCCCATCAGCTTCTCTGAGAAACAGAAACTCACCCTTTACTTCGCACCCCCAAGTTAGGGTTAGGTTTCCCAAGGTCACATCAGCGCGCCCATGTGCTATGCGGGCCTATCAATGTCACCTGATATTTTAGTCAGACTCCAGCTCGGGGATTTGTCATCACCACCAGTTAGTAAGATGGTCAGCAGGTGTTGGTAGATAGCCAATAGGGTAGTGAGCACAAGTACCAAGGGGTCTTGTCTTACAGTATCAGGGGGGCTTGCCCAGCATGTATATAAGCCAGTAAGTCTGCACCAGTTAGGGCCAGACTAGTTATAGTCATTCACTTGCTCTAACTCAGTGTGTGCCCTCTACTAGTAAACTGCCCTCAAGCCGTTACTCAGAGAAGCTATCAGATAGTGAGTATAGCCAGGTTTAGGGTTAGGTTTGGGTCTAGGGTAGAGTCACTGTGGGTCATCATGTGACACACTAGCTCCTTGCTCATCTATACAACTACCAGTGCTACAAGTGAGTATTGGGATTAGGGTATTGGATTAGTCAAGTATCAAGGCAATACTCTGACAACATAGAACTTATAGGTGCATCTTACTATTTGTTCAACAGCATGCTTGATCATGCCTCAATCAGGGGACAATCGGGCAGCCTTCCATGCACTGCTGCTTTTAGTGGGCATTGGGGTGTTGGAGGGGTGGGCTCTCGTGGCACGTGCCCGGTGCTATGGCGGGAGACGTCTGAGCCCACGACTGAGGAGCCCCGGGGGGAACGACTATCCGAGGTGAGGTGAGATATGGCGATCTACGCTGTGGCTGACGCAGGGTGGGCCGCGCGTTGTTGTGGGGGCGTCGTGCAATGTTGTCGCTGCAGCCGAGTCGACGAGCAACCGTCTCTGGGCGGGTGCGCGGTACGATTGGGATAGCTTACCACATAGTCCATGCAGTTTCAGGCGGGCTGCACATGTGTATCTCCCTGGTGGATGGTGCTACGACGTGGGGAGCCCGACACAGTCCGGTGTGCACTTGCGTGGTTTCTGTTCCTCGAAGTGGCTTGGTGGTGCAGGCGTGGTGTTCAATAACTGGCAACATCCGGGCCCTGCAGCGTGTCGCTCAATCCTTGTGGACCTTGCAGCGCATGGCCACGGTTCTCTTTTCCATGATCCCAGCTGTGGTCTTCGCCCGCTCGATCCTGTCTTCGAGCAGTTGCCCCAGTGGCGCCCGCAACATCATCGAGGACGTTCACCGCACTTCGCCATTGTCTTCTCCAGTTCCATTCTGCAGATGCGCCCGGGTGCTGTCACTAGACAACAGGGTGCGCCACGCACAGGGGCGAACAAACCAAGGCTGGCAACACTTGTCGGAGCAGCACTGCGCATGTGGGCTGGGAACAGCGATGTACTACTGGGGAGTCACGCAAAACACTCAGACTCAGAGTCAGTACGAGTCCTCGCAGTGTCTGGCTGCTTGATTGTCGACGGTCAGCGGCACTCAGAATATCATATATCACAGCCCGGCTCGAGAGGCCGGCATGTCACAAGCCCCGTATATGTCCTAACATCCTGCTAGCCCCAAGCACGCACGGCGTCCGGACACCGGCCCCTGCTCCGCCGAAGCAAACCTGCCCGAAAGTGGACTGTTATGCGGTGGCATGCGCGAGGATTCGCATACCCTATTTTGCGGTGCGGTCAAGGCTACGTATAGAGCCGCTGCCCGCCCTCTGAACGCTGAATTTTGGTCAGCATCGATTGACCGCCAGCGCAAACTCTCGCAGACCGCGTCGATAAGCCACCTGCATGCCGTCATTACAGCGACGACGCGGGCAGTCCGCACGCCCGTCCCTTCGCCCGTGCGATGGCGACGACGACGATGGGTGGCCGTAAGAAGAGACGGGCATCACATTCGCGCGGGATCCGCCTCGACTCAGCCCTCATGGCGTATCAAAATTCGCGTGGATTGCACGTCCGATGTTGGATATCGGCGTGTGGCGTTTGCG